TTCAAAATGTCAGTGTCATAAGATACTTAGGTGCCTACTTAGACGAGGGCCTAAGATTCTCAACACATGTTAAGACAAAGTGTAGAACTGCTATGTTAAATTATTTGAGAATAAAGAGCATTCGCAAATATCTGACTCAGGACGCCACAAAAATCCTAGTATTGTCGCTTGTAATCTCACATTTGGATTATTGCAACGCTATATTGTTTGGCATTTCAGAAAGTGAGTTACAGAAATTACAGAGTATCCAGAATATGTGCGCTAAACTTGTTTTACAACGCGGAAAATATGATAGTTCCAAAGACTCTTTGTTTGAGCTGCATTGGTTACCAATTAAAGCTAGAATCAATTATATTTTTTTTATCTATATGTACATACTTTTATTATGCTTTTGTACAACGCCATTGAATATGTATATAGAAATAGGCGTTTAATTAAATAAAACAGTTTCTAGTTTCTTCTGAGCAAAAATGATCATGTCCAGTAGGACACATCAAGGTCCATAATAATACTTTAATTTAGTTATTATAAATATACATGCATAATAAGTATTATAACATAATGATATGGTTATAAAGATATTTATTTCGTGTACAAGTTATGTTTTTATTTTTATTTTCAAAATATGTTAGAGAATAATATGACCGTTATAAAATAAGATTCTATTCCAAATATTGGCATTTGTATTTTTTACCATAATTCATGCGGTGTTGAGGTATAACTATTATGCGATGCAGATCGAAAATGGGTGCAAAACCTTAATAATTTTAATAAGAAAGCAAAGGTACTGTACATTTATTCTGGGAATATCCGTATATACAACACAATAGGAATGAAGTGTTTAAATACAGCAATAGCAAGAACGATATACTGACAAACATGTGATGCATGATAATAATTAAAACAACTACATACATTTACAAGCAACATACAACATATACAAATGTTAAAACAAATCAATGTTTAAAAATTACAAGTTCACGTATTGAACTTTAACAAATAATAGAGTTAAAATGACAACATGGAAACATTCAATACATTTTTCACCCGAATAACGACTAATTTACACTTGTGCTAGCAATCGGAATCCCAACCATTCAACCTTTCAGTTTCATCCAATAACAAGGAGGGAATCATTTAGGGTATGGCCATAACCCCATGCTATAATCATGAGTTATTGTTAATAAATGTGTAAGCAAAAGTTATTTTGTAAAGTCAGTAAAGGATGATTACCTGGCTTATACTCATGGTTGGGACGGGGAGAATAAATTGGATGGGACCCGAACAAAATGTTTTAAAACTTCATAAAGACCATTCATATTTGTTACAGAAATTGTACACCATATATTAGCCTGCGTTCCAGTCTGTCATTCTTATGTGCTTCTGTTCGGCTGATCGATATTATCAAAAACACGAATAAGTATGAAATAACGCGTATGTTTGTAATGAATAAGCAAACAAATCAACGCCTGAATCCCAGGCGTACCATACATATAACAAGTTAAGGCCGCTACCTTCACAAAAATGATAAAAGATCTCTCAAAGTGATCCTTTGCTTATCATTTCAATAACTGTAAAATTTTAAAAGGTCACCAACTTCACAAAAATTATAAAATAAAGGAAAAAAAAGTGATCTAAAAGTGATTTTTTCTTTTTATATTTCCTTGAAGAACCTCCTAAAATGCTGTTTTATTGTTTAAATAACATTTCTACAACATTACAATTTTTGGTCGCTGGGCCGCCAGGCCGCCAACTTCACAAAAATGATAAAATAAAAAAGAGTTCTCAAAGTGATTTTTTTTCTTTTTATATATCCTTTAAAAAACAAGAATTGTCTTTAAAACTTCATTAAATGCCGTTTTATTGTTAAAATAACATTTCTACAACATTAAAATTTTTTGGCCGTCAGACCGCTGGGCCGCCAACTTCACAAAAATGAGAAAATAAAAAAAAATATCTGAAAGTGATTTTTTTTCTTTTTATATATCCTTTAAATAACAAGAATTGTCTTTAAAACTTCATTAAATGCCGTTTTATTGTTAAAATAACATTTCTACAACATTTAAATTTTTGGCCGTCAGGCCGCTGGGCCGCCAACTTCACAAACATGAGAAAATAAAAAAAGTTCTCTGAAAGTGATTTTTTCTTATGAATATCCAAGAATAGTCTTAAAAACCCCATAAAGTAACGTTTTATCATATTTATAACATTTCTAAAACATTAAAATTTCCGGCTGACAGGTCGCTAGAGATAAAAAAAACACTGTCTAAATGTTTTTTATGTAACTTTTAAATGGTAAGATATGTCTTTAAAAATTAATTAAGAGTCGTTTTAATTTCTTTGCCAAACTTGTATTCTTTTTTAAGTTCAGGCCGCTAGGCCGCTGGGCCGCAAACTTCACGCTGGGCCGCCAGGCCGCTTATTTTTTCTGATTTTTATGTAGCTGACTTCCTGTAAACCGAATGTATGTAACATTTTAGAAAATAGTAAAAAGTAATTTGTTTCAATACCCTTATCTTTGCCATATTTAAAAAAAACATCTCCAAAGACTTGCCAGTATCTTAATTTAAACTGTAAAATCCTCTATCAATTGTAAAAATGAGGTGTGTCAGACTAAAGATAAAGTCATCTGCCCTTTAACTGACAAGAAAAGAAATGGCAGATACTCGAAAACGACCCCTTTTGTGATTGTATTTTTATGATATCATAATACTCGTTTTAAGATATTGTTCAAAAACGTTTTGAAAAGTTTGTGTTACATTTTTCATTCTGCTTACACATGATGTTACTATGGCATAATGAAAAAAAGAAGAACATACTTCTCCTCACTACACTACTCGTGCAGGTCCGGAATAATCACCATCATCACGATGAGTTATATATTGTGCGAAATATTTGAAATCTTGTAAACACACTTTTATTTGTATCTGTTTAAATAAAACTAACAAATACAAATTATAAATATCATGTTAAATATAAATTTGCTTCAACATAGGCTGTTACTTTACTTAACAGTTATTTAATGACAATTATTGATTTACTTTATAAATAGTTGCCGACAAATAAAATGATAAAAACATCAACTAAATAGCAACACATATAACGGGGGTCAGTATACGTTTCCGTATAAAAAGAATGGTTTATGTATAGAAAAACATCTTTTATTTGCATTCGAACACTGATATTTAATTGAAAAAAAAACACTTTAGAATCGAAAAAAATATTTAGATCGATCCTAACCAATAAATTTTGTACATTTCACTAAATGTATGCCTTTCATTGCTTTTTTCTTCCAAAAAATTCTGTTCCATTTTATAAATATTTCACCAATAAACATTTAAAATTAAAGGAAATTAAAAGTCAAATTCACACAAACAGGCGAAATTCTCTTATATAGCGTCTGAAAAGGGTATACATGTATTTGTCAATAAAATGTTAATGTAGAAAAATAGTACTCAACTTTGATATTAAACTACTCTTTTCTGAATTCGATTCATGTCGTATATATGTCGATGAATATATAATTATGGCAATATTTGTCGCATCCAAACGTGTTGAAATAACAGTTTTTATTGTTAATGGAATTGCATAGACTGTTATGGCCATGTATGAATTCATCCACCATTTTTGTAGAATCATATGGCAATTATTACAATTCTATGAAGCATCCATTGAGAATAGTAAAACTATTTGTAAAAACCAGAGGTTTTGGACTAACTATACGTCTATCAGATTCTTGAGAAAAGGTGTTGTAGACGAAATCAACCGATGCAATGTCTAAATTATAGATTTACAGAGATAGTAGCAGATAAAGTTTGTCTTAGATATTTCGTAAAATAACTATCACAAAGTCGAAGTTTTATTAGGAGAATACTCTTTCAGATTTTATGTTGACTTATCAAGATCAAGGAAGTTTATTTACCTGAGTAAACAAAATTAAATATGTTTTATTTTAGACATTGTAATTATAAAATTTAGTCCCATAAACGACACTTGAGGAAATACACTTGATTACCAAGTTTTGTTAAACCCGTCTCCCCTTTCCGCCATATATATTCATTTCGTTTTCCTGCAATTATGCTTTAATAGTGTACTGAATTTATTGAGCGAGTTGAAAAAAAAATTACGCAAACACCCTATTATTCATCAATTGTTAACCATAGTAGTGAAGATACATGTACACTCGACTTTATTAACAAAGTCACTATTGAAACTGGTGGTGAGATACTTACTTCTGCTGCTGAAAAATGTAATTTAGTAAAAAATGTACAGAGAAAGGCTAACTCCTCAAATAAGTCTAATAATCAGTGGTTTGACTTAGAATGCAGGGATTGTCAGAAGGAGTATTATCTTTCTAAGCGTAAATACAGATCTTTCCGCACGCAAGATAACTTATTAAATCTGAAAACTTGTAGTAAAAAGTACATACTAAACTTAGGAATTACCAAGAAAGCATTGTTAAAAAATTAAAAAGTCTAAGATGTACAAAACCAAAGGAGTACGGGTGTCTCCTCAATAAATATTCGGGAGAACGGAAAGAGGTAATGAACAAGGTTTCGTTAGAAGCATTTTATGTTCTGACGTCGGATGACGGTCGGAAAAACGGTTGGATTTGAAAGTTTTTTTGACGTAATAATCTGACGTCAGGTAGACGTCAGAATGTAACCATTATCTAACCATTTCTGACCAAAATCTGACCATTTTCCGACCAAAATCTGACCGTTATCTAACCAGTTTCTGACCATTTTCCGACCTCAAGCTGACCATTTTCTGACCTTAATCTGATCATTTCCCTAATCCTTCTTGTTTACAATGTTATAAATATGTTCTGGCCAATCCTGATTGGATCAAATGTAATGTGACTCATTCTTTTAAGTAACTTTCACTCCAATGAAATGTATAACAAAAAAATAAAAGCAAAAATATATGTTTTTTTTATTTAAGATAAAAGTTGCAATTAAAAGCTGATACATACAGTTTTAGTTAATTATGCAAGGCTAAATACTTTTCATAAACTAAACCAAATAAAACATAAAATAAGTTAATAACAAAACAAAAAGTATTACAAAAACAATGGCATAAATGAAACTAAGAAATTATATACAAATATTAAAGAACAAAACAATGTATCTATAAAAGTTTGCCTTATCAAACAAAATAATGAAAATATTATAATTTTAAGAAAAGTTAAAAGATTCGGATAATAATGTTTCAAGCAGTTAATGACAGATATTCAGTATTTTAACTATATTTCTACAGCATTACTAAAACATTTAGTGGTATTTTTCATATTTTGACCTCCTTTTGATAATTGTCACTAACGTGTAAATTACTTCCTTTTAGTTACTTCACAAAGTTATACTTTTAAATATCCACGAGAATTAGCACGAATTTGAAGGTTTGATGCATTTAGATATATGACCTTCCCTCACTACCTCTCGTCAGTCCGGAGGATGTAACATGTTAATGTCCAATGGCGTTTGTGATATCATTTTCACTGAAAAAAAAAAGAATTTATGAAAATTGGAAAAATTACAAGCAAAAATGTTTTCATGGTTATCTGCCCTTTAGAAATTTTGAAAGTTATCTTAAATTAATAAACAACTAGTAACTTTTCAGAAGTGAGCTTTAACAAAAATTAAAAGTAAACATAAATACTGAAAATTTAAAAAACCGCTTTAAAACTCCAGTTTTGTATGGATTATAGTATGTAATAGAATTTACAAAATCTTACTTTCCCATGATTCATGTTTCTTTTTACATTATCACGTATTTCTGCCCCTCCGACCTTTGTGAGCATGTCAAACGCTTGAACTTCCTGAAAAGAAAATTATATTCTAACTTATGTATATTCTACTTTTGAAATAGAACAGTTACGCAAGTCTTAAATTTTTCATAGTTTCAAATTAAAGAGTGTTAAGAAATTGTTGATAATAAATGTATGTTTATGTACTACGTTTTGTTAAAAAGTTTATGTTGTTTTGATTACATTTTTTCTACTAATGATTATTATGAAGCCTCATTCTATATTACAAAATCATAATTCGATAATCAATCAATTCGCTCTTTCATTTATTTCCCGTTCATTTATTAGAATGATATTAAAATCTGGTGTAAAACACATTAAGGTAAGATTTATTCTGATCAAAACTTGGGCCAATTGGGAATGCCGAAATGTCTGGGACCGAAACGTCTTGGGTTATTTGGGACCGAAACGTCTTGGTCCGAAATGCTCGAAATCGTATCCATTTATTCTCAATTCTCAGATTTTAACTGACAAAAACATCATAGTTTAACAAGAATATGAAAACTAAGCATTCTCTTTGGTTGTTTATAAACTCTTCACGAGCAGAGTTAAAATGAAATGATATATTATCAAACATTATCGCGAATTTGGGTGACATTTTGCTTCAACTGTTCAAATAATGATAATTAAATCTAAGAACGCATGCAATCATGCAATTATTTTTCAAATACAAAGTAGAAATAAATTTAAATAAATTGAACTGACCTTTTTGTTCAAGAAAATCTGGAATATTCACTTTATCAATGCATCCCGATTCCTGACATACGAAACGCCTACGAATTTGAATTTTCCATCCACGTGGCTGTAGATTCGAATTATAATTATGTTTTCTTTCCTTTTCCTGTCACTATGATTAAATATTAAAGCACTATTAAAAACTCATGATTTTGATACATATAATGTACCACAAATGATAATATTATAACGTTAAATGATTGGAACTCGTAAACAGATCTGTGGCTATAAATAGATTTCATAACAAAAACACATGTAACTTGCCTATATACAGCGCCACCTATATGTTTTATTAGGTTGCAGCGCCGCGCACGTGGTCTTCGAAAGGCACTTGTATATATATACACTTAATTTGTAAGCCAAATAACATTTGAAAAAAAGTTTAAATGATTACAACAGCGAATTAGGATTATTTTTTTGTTAATTTTTTACCTACTGTCAGGACACCGACCAGAACCTGACGTTAGTACGACGTCAAAAAGAAACGTCTAATATACATCGGTTTTTGGACGTCAGATTTACGTCGTATTTTGGTCGCCGACGTCGTGACCAAAATCTAACGGTAATCTGACGTTATTTTAACGTCATGTGTTTGCTGGGTGAAGATTTATTTACAGCATTTGATACTGAATCAATTTCAGAATTTAATGATATATTAAATTGCCCATTCACTACTTTAGAAATTGACAAAGTTATTAAAACTTTAAAAAATAACAAAGCATGTTCACCTAAAGATAATATACTGAATGAGTATATAAAATACTCAAAGGATTTGTTATTACCATTGTATTGCAGCTTATTTAAACAGGAATTGTTCCAGATACATGGTGTACGGGTATAATTTTACCCATTTATAGAAATAAAGAGGACGAAAATAATGCTGATAATTATAGAGGTATAACCATTTTAAGTTGTCTTGGTAAATTGTTCACATCAGTGTTAAATTCTAGAATTAATATTTTTTTGGAAGAATGGCCTTTTAATTGAGGAACAGGCAGGGTTTCGTAATGGTTATGGAACTACGGATCATATTTTTTCCTTAAAAATGTTGATTGATATTTACTTATCGAAGAAAAAGAGGTTGTATTGCTCTTTTATTGATCACAAGAAAGCATTTGATAGTATAAACCGTACTGCTCTCTGGAGGAAATTGTTAGCAAATAATATTGATGGGGAAATACTTAAAGTTATTCATAATATCTATGACAAAGCTAAGTCTTGTGTTAAAGGGAATAATGCATTGTCAGATACATTTGTAAGCTGTTTAGGTGCGCGTCAGGGAGAAAATCTTTCTCCAATTTTGTTTTCAATTTTCCTTAATGATTTGGTTTTTATATGTCTACACATTGTGAAGGGGTTGCAGTTTTTATCAGACCAGGTAAATGAACAGTTAAGTAATGATGAAGTTGATGTATTCTTGAAGTTGTACTTATTACTCTATGCTGATGATACAGTTGTTTTCGCGGAAAGTCAAACTGGCCTTCAAAAAGCTTGATTATTGTAAATTATGGCAATTGACTGTTAACACTGATAAGACAAAAGTTGTTGTATTTTCTCGTGGTAAATTAAGAAATAAGCCTGTATTTTATTTCAATAATGTACCTCTAGAAGCTGTAGATGATTTTATAGTTATTTAGGTGTGATATTCGATCAACTTTAATGGTAAATTTAATAAAACAAAAAAGCACTTGACAGATCAAGCTAGGAAGGCTACGTTTAGTATTTCAACTAAAATTAAGAAATTGTGTTTGCCAATTGATATTCAGTTACAGTTGTTTGACAGTATGGTTAAGTCAATATTATTGTATGGGTCGGAGGTGTGGGGATTTGAAAATAATTCTATTATTTCTCAGTTTCAATTGAAATTTTATAAATATATACTTAAACTTAAGATGTCAACTCCTTCGGTTATGGTCTTGGGAGAATTAGGTGCATTTCCTATTGAAAATGATATTACTTGCAGAATGTTGAATTTTTGGAGTAAATTAGTGAATGGTAAAAATGATAAAATATGTGCTTCTTTGTACCACACTATGTATAATCTTCATGAAAAGGGTATTTTACATTGTCAGTGGATTGAGAAAGTAAAATCTACTTTGAATAATAATGGTTGTTCTTATTTTTGGATAATTCAGAATGTTACAAATTTTAATAATTTTAAATATGTAATAAAATCACGATTACGTGATCAGTTTTTACAAGTATGGAATAGTGATGTTTTTAATTCTGCTAAGTGTTTAAATTATAGAATATATAAAACTCAATTTAAATTAGAACATTATTTACTATGTTTACCAAGAAATTTAGCAATTACTCTTTGTAAATTTAGATGTCTCAATTCTGATATTCCTATAGAGAAAGGTCGCTATTTTGGTATTGAAAGAGAAAATAGAACATGCTCACTTTGTAACCAGCAAGAAATAGGTGATGAATTTCACTATATTTTTAAATGTAGTTATTTTACTCATGAAAGACACAAGTATATCAGTAATTATTATTCAAGGTTTCCTAGTATTTTAAATTTTCAGGCTCTAATGTGTAGCGACAACAGAAATACATTACTTAATCTAGCTATTTTTGTCAAAGCAATAATGCTGAAATTTAAATAAGTCATCTTCCTTATTTACTTCTATGCCATGTTTGTATTATTATATTTTGTTTTGTTGATTGTTCACTCTTATGCCCTTAAGGGCCATGATTCTTTGTTTATAAATTAAAAAAAATAAAATAAAACAAGAATCTGTGTTTGATAAACACAAATGCCACGCGCTCACTGTTGTCAATAATTTAACTTTAGAGAGTGAAGTAGCTAATTTGTATGGAAGACAAAATTCTACTTTGTTTACATTTTGCCACTTTTATGACAATTATTTTATATTAGGCGCTACTTTCTTTAGGATATAAGCATCTAACAATGTCATGCTCTTACACTGTTATGAAGTTCATGTTTGCCCTTTTAAAGAAATAAAACTTCATTCATTTCTAAGGCATTATGTGCCTTTAAAAACTTTATGACAACAACAACAACAACACAATGATCATAAAAGTTTGTCTTTTTTTTAAAAGAAGAATATCATGCAACTTATTTTCCTACCAAATATGAAATAAATCTGTCAATATATAAAGGCTGTATGGGCAAAAGTGTAAAAATCTATTTTAGCACTGTTGTCATTGACCCAACTGACCCCTAACTCCATCCAAAGGAAGAATACCATGTAAGTTATCTTCCTACCAATTATAATACAAATCTGTCAATAAATAAAGGCTGTATGAGCAAAAGTGTAAAAATCTATTTTTAGCACTGGTGACCTTGACCCAACTGACCCCTACCTCCATCCAAATGAGAATACCTCAATTTTATGTTTCTACAAAATATACAAGACAGCTGTCGATAGAATAAGGTTAATACACCTGTAAAAGTGTAAAAAATCTATTTTTGACATTGGTGACCTTGACCCAAATGACCCCTTACTAAAGGAAAAGAAAGAGGACCTCTCTTGGTATGATTATTATAAACATGAAAGACATTAACTTAAAAATAAAGGCTGTATAAGCAGAAATGATTAGATTTATTTTTTTACACAAGTGACCTTGACATAGAGACGCCTAACGCAACAAAAATTAGAGGACCGTTAAAGGTATCCACCTACCAAATATGAAAGATATCATTAAAAAAAATTAAGTAATTAGGTGAATTGTTTTGATAAATCCAACTTGGCGGAATAGGTAAACCATACAAGGCCCTATTTTCAAAGTGATAAAAAGGGAAATTACTGGGAAAATGGATGGCACATTTATATAACTTGGCAATATCATGTACATTGTATTGATAAGTAAGTGTGAAAATTATTAAGCCATTAGTTCAGATAACATAAGATATTTCCAACTTGCCGGTTTAGGTTAACCATTATTCATTTTCTAAGTGCTGAAAAGGGCCATGACTTGGTGCAAATGGAAGCCATAGCTATGTAACTTGCCCAGATCATAAATTTTGTATGGATTAGTAAGTGTGTAAATTATGAAGCCATTGGTACAGGTAGAACTTAAGAAAAATCCAACTTGCCGTTCTAGGTTAACCTCGTACAGACGTTCCAACATTTTGGGTTTAGGGGCTATTTTCTTTGTTTTCTTAAGGGCTACTAGCCCCTAAACCCTTTGATCACGGAATGAACCTATTGTTCTCTTTTGTTCTTTTTACTGTTATATAGCCCCTAAACTCAAAATGTTTGCTCGGACAGACGGACGGACGGTTCAATTACTATATGCCCGGGGGCATAAAAAGTAAGTGTTTTAATTTAGAATAGCACTCAATAGCACTCAACAAGTTCAATAAATATAGTTATGAAGCTAAACGAATATAATATTCTATTTACCGCATATCCAAATAATAACTGTTTACAGGAAAATAGTATCATGTTTTTATTGACGCGTTTCAGACTGTTGTTGAGACAAGCCGGTCTTCAAAGGAGATTTAGGACAATTCATCAATTTTAAGGGATATATTTTTCCTATAACAAAAGTCTAACGGGTACCCTAGATTAATCGTTTTCTAACGGTAGTTTTGTAAAGGGTCCGTCACACCATGACGTTCTGATCAACGCTCTCTTCGTTCAATTTTTGAACGTTCTTGAATGAGGTTGACACATCTAGCGTGTGATTAACTTGCGTCTAACGCATAACTAGCGTGTGTCTAACGCAGGAGAAGCGTATAACAGCGACCATGTAAGATACGTCGGAAACCCATAAGCGTGTGCTAACGTGCCACTGTCGCGGGACGAACTATTTGTCAACGCCTGACGAGCGTTTTGAGCGTGTGACTAACGCGTGGATAACGACAGAATAGCGTCTTAATGGCGTGTTATTTTTACGGCTTAAACGACACAGAACGCTGGAAATTTCTTAATTTAGTTGCTCTTGTGAGTTTGAATAGTCAGCATCATGACGCCAAGAAAAAAAGATTGGGATGAGGGCTCCTTCAAGCTACATTTGTATTTCCAAATCCTTGACGTCTTTATATTCACGATTTAGTCCAACACTGTCGTCTTCGTCTGGTTCTTCTTCTCTATGGATGAGTGTCGGGGTCTTCTCTGCGGATAAATACCCTCAATATGTTCAGATATGTTTAAGTTCAGTACATCTACTTGATGCTTGACTATAGCAAACATCTAAGCCTACTCAATCTTTCAGGATCTTCCATAGTAGGTGTTCTCTACGATAACCCAAAATCAAATGAACCTTGCTTTTTACGTATGCATAGACGTACGTGAAACGGTCGAATGACGTTCAATGGACGCCAAAATGACGTTCGTTTACCTTTAGTCACACGTTTTTTGCGCTTGAAGACCGTTCAGTGGTCGTTGAAAGGTCGCCAGTGAGTCGTTCACTGCAAAGCAAACGATTAGTAACAACCAAGTAGCGATTGAGCAAAGACTGACTAACGACAACAGAACGTTTGCAACGCTCGGCGAAATTTAGTAAAATGTTCCATGAATGTTCTTACACGTTCTGCTGCGTTTGAGATTTAAACGTTGAAGATCGCTGGTCTGAGTGAGAACTTTTGTACATGTTCAAAACTTTTTTTCCGGACAGCGTTCTACGCCGATTACTGACGTTCACACAACGTTCTTCTGGCGCTATCCCAGCAGCCATGGGCGACACTAACGTTTCTTAAAACGTCGTAGAACGCTGACCAGAACGTCATGATATGACGGCCCGATAAGCATTTTGGGCATAACGTATGTATTAGGTTAGTGGGTAAAATATATAACGAAGTCTTATGGGGCCGTCACACCATG